TCAAAGTCCGCTGAGCTCTCGTACAGTGGGCGTAAATGCGATAAGGGCTATTGGCTTGGTAACCTCGTCATGTTGGCAAACCAAGACTCGCCGGGGTACTAAACCTGAGGGGACCCCTGGTTTTACAAGAAGTTTTGGTGACAAGTTGAGGTCTAGTATCCCCGCGTACTACGAAAACGAAGACCCTGCATTAGCCCAAAGCATTGCTTACTTTTTAACGAGAATTTTCCAGCAGAGAAAACTTAACGACCGTCAGAATCTATTTTAGCTACGAAATACAGAAGTAATCGATTATTTATTGACAGAACCCAAGAGTCATTTTTGCTGTACAAAACGCGTTCTCTGTTATTCTGTCACGCAATGCTAACTATAAATCAAAGGCGGCTGGCGTTGGAATTCTGCCTGTTGTTCCAGAGTAATAACATGTGTAGTAAGTTTACCCGAGGAAACCCTCGAGAATATCAACATCAAATTGGCTCGCTAACGAAACAGAACACTGACAGGACGGGCCGTATACGGGCAGTATAATAATACGGGCAGTATATTAATGGAAGAAACGCGTGAAGTGTAATGTATTATACTACTAAACGTTGTTACTGTTTAATGTGCGTTTAACTTGTAATTTCTACGGTTTTCTGTTTACAGGGTCTTCGTTTTCTTACTACGAAAACGAAGACCGGGTCTTAGGTCTTATGTCTTCGTTTTCGTGGGTCTTCGTTTACGTAACACCCCATCGTCATTCGATGCATGACGATGCATGACAAATAATCAAGAAAAAAATACACACAGCCAAACAATTCATGTTTAGACTCGTGCAGTGCTTCCTCAGCGTGAGTTACGGAAAATTTAAAATGCAATTATTTTGCGTTAATCTGTTCAAAGTTTTTTATGATCTGTTTAATTTCTATTTTCACAGTTAATATCGTCAGAGTTAATATCATGGATGGAGAAGGAGAAGCACGTCAAAATTTTAAATCTCTCCAAGTTGTCAAACGCCCGGCCAAATGTGTTTCTCCTTATAAGGATGGCTGTTGGTCTTGGTTGGTGTGTCTTGCTGCTGTTGTCTCAAACGTGTTAATTTGTGGATTTACCTTCAGTTATGGCATTCTATTTCCTGCCATCTTGGACGAGTTTAAACAAGGGAAAGCTAAATCAGGTAAATTTCGTTATTAACACATATTATTTGTTGTCGCCGACGAGCTCGGGAACGCTGAAGGACTCTAAACGAAAGAAATGGAATGATCATCTCAATTTGAGCACTAAGTAGACAGAGTACGCGTCATGCTTTAAATTTAACAGTGTAATAGGACAATCCGTGATATCATGGATTACAGACCGAATTGGACTCCACTCCGTCCTATTACCATTTTTAACCTCAGTGACACCTGTGGTTCTTTCATATTTGTACATGTAACCCGGCTGTGTGTTGCAATTCTCTCAACAGCTTGGGTTGGATCAATCGCTATGATGGGTATAGGCATTTATGGTCCACTGATCGCAAGGTTGTATTTTCGCTTTGGTGCTCGACTTGTCTCATTTGTCGGAGCCCTAATCTGCGTATTTAGTCTAGCTGTTACCTCTAAAGTGACAAACCTGTACTTGATGTATTTAACCTACGGATTACTGTTCGGTTTTGGCTCTGGCGGCATCTACCTGGTGACCTACATAGTTGTGCCAAGATACTTCATAAAATGGCGCTCTCTTAGTTTGGGTCTCATAGCTATGGGGCCCGGTGGAGGGATGTTTATCATGAGCCCTGTTGTGCATGAGTTGTTCGTAAGATTTGGATGGAGAGGAACATTTTTAGCAATGGCTGGTATTGTCTCCGTAACTTGTATTCTAGCTTTGGTTTATAAGCCAATTATGATAGATTCTGATGTGGAAGACGAGAATAGTGAGTCAGCAAAGGATGATAAATTCTGGGATGTTACGATCCTCAAGCACAAAGTGTTTGTCCTTATAACAGTTGCTGGGTTTGTGTACTACCTTGGCCACTATACTCCAGCTGTACATATAGTAAGTTTGAAATGAGCCCATATCACTCACCTTTTTCACATGTACATAACGCAGTAGTAGCGTCGCACACATCACGCCAAGCATTTCATGCATTGTGTTCTGCGAATCATGTCACGGCCTTGCACACCGGAACAATCCTAGAGCACGTAGCTAACGGCATTCAGCACTTCGCGGATTGCATAACACACTTTACGTCAATAAAAATCATCAATTATGAGTATGAAACACTACACAACATCTCACCCAGCTTCACGCACATTCGCATACTTTAAGTCACGCTGTTGAATTGCATTTTATGTCACACAACTCCCATATT